ATACGGAAGGTCAAAAAATTATTAAAATGGAGGAAAAGCGTGAGTATGAATATGTTCAGAAAGGTTTTTTGTATTTTCTTCACTCAAGCTCTTACAGAAATGGCTTTATAAAACCAGCACTGCTGCAGCTGTGTGCTCTTCACACACAGACACAATTCAGCTCTTTGCTGATCAGATCAACAAAAAAAAGAGAAAGAAGTTGTTCCTTCTGATCTTGACCGGCTGGGTGGATAGCTGGATGCTGTGAACCTCAGTGAAAGAGAAATGCCTCCACTCTCAATTGCGGCTTGTCTATAGAAATGATTGCACAGGAGTCTATCTTAATCACTTCATGCACCGAGTCCTTGGGCAGGATGGAAAACAAAATCAAATAAAGATGCTTGTGAAGTTCTTTCTGTACCTGAGCTTCAAAATAGTTTTGTCTGAAAGCACCTCATCTCTGAGAAAAATGTGAAACAGTTACAGTTTTAAACTCTGCACAAAGTGTTCACAGTAAAGGCAGTAAGACTGTGAGATATGAAGGGCTGAGAAGGAGAGAATCCTGCAGAAAATGTTTACATAGTTGTTGCACAGACTGTCCTGTAATTATGAAAGTGTTTTGTGTGAACTGTAGATTTATTAATTGTGCAATCTGTCATTTAATTGTTAATCTGTTAGTTAATTACAATAGGAAAAGCTCTAAAACCTATGAAAATGCACAAAAAATTTTTAAATCTACACACCCCTTCACAAGTCCAGTGGGCCAGATTCGACTTGATTCAGGCCCTCGGGCCTTATGTTTGAAACCTATTTTAGAGCCTTTGTGTTATATTTTGCTCTGTGGACCACTGTAACTCTGACACACTGGAACAAGGGAGGAGAATGGGGAAAAACATGGAAAAAGATAAAGGGCTGAAATTATGTTTCTGACATAATGAAGAACTTCACAGCCACGAAACCTTCATCTGGCATCTGTTTGATCCTGCCCAGTTAAAGAACAGCAAAGGTTTGGGATATGACTGGCACAGGGACTCCAATTCAGACACAAAGCTTTCAAAAAAAACTTGCATTTGCTCACAGAACCTTGAAATGAGCATCTCTGTATCAGAGCATAACTGGGAAAGGATAAAGTCAAAGAGGTAATCCTCTCATACTGTATATGCCAAAGTGCCAGCTGGTAGTTCAGGAAATTAGGAGCAGGAGCATCATAAGATCTGAAAAATACACTGAACTTTGGACTGAAACACAATTTCCTCTTATCGGTCCTTCACTCTTGCCCTCCGCACTTGTCTTTGCTCCCTCCTCACCCCTTCTCACACTTGATTTGACAGTCTGTGTGTTATGACCCGAGTCTGACACAGACATCCAAAATGTCTCTCAAAGGTAACACAAACACTGGGGAAAAAAGAGGTGCCAAAGTAAATATCAGACTAAACTGAAAGTCCCTTTTATACAAAACACACCTTATTTTAGAGAAAGCTTTACCTTTATTTGACCCCCTGAAAGTGCTATAATGCTTTTCCTTATTTTTTTAATTTTATATATCCATTTGTAAGATTCTCTCTCTTATGATGATGATGATGATGAGATAGCCTTTATTTGTCAGTTGTAGGTCTTTTGCCCACAACCGAGATGACAGACCTTGCCGACCGTACATACAATACAAACGTCACATTGGGGAGACAGGTCAGGCTAGGTAGCGAGGGAAAAAAAACATCGAAATGTGTAACACAAAGGGATGATACAGGAATGCACAGATATCA